TTGTGTTACACGAACAATGTCAGAAAGATGTGTAACATTTTAAAGTTAGAATGAGGTTTCTGAGTGAAAGTATGAATGAACAGTTAGCAGTTGAAGTCGCATGAAGATTTGTTGAAGTTGAAGAATTTCTCCATTGACTTCAATGTTAAAAATGTGATGTATTATGGGATGTATCTCTGGAATTATGAAAGTTATGAATGAGAAAAGTAATAGCCATCGATTCCCGACAGAGCTGAACGTTTTGATGTTTGAACGGAGTTTCTGCGATGTTCAATGCGGGAGGAGAAGCGCGGCAAAATAAGTCGGCGGAATAATAAACTTTTCGTGCGTAGAATAAGTTAGTTGGAAGGCTGTTAACAGCATTCCCACTAAACGAGGGAGTGCAAAAGAGAAAGCTGCAGCGAGAGCAAAAGTCTGATCATTGAGAAAGAAGAAACAAGAACTGCAAACAAAAACCTATGTTAAAACAAAGAAAGAATACTTATAGTTTACATGATTACACAAATTATTTGTTTGCAACTTATAGTTTTATTTTTGAAATTTATTTTTGCTTGACTCAGTTTTTTTTTCTTTTGAACTCATAGTTTTTGCTTTATTCTGAGAAAGTGTTGCTTTATCTTTATGATACAAAACTAATCCCATAACTGTACTGTACAAAGTGTCCAGACACATTACCAGAGGGCAGATTAAATTACCTATGCAAGCAATTTAAAATGAAATGGCTTATACCTAGATTGAGTAATGCCCGTGAATTTAAATCCTGATGTGCATAGATCACAATTAACAGAGTTTATAGTATCCTTTAACTGTTATCTGAGGGGACAATACCGACTTCTGCCACATGGCGGCGCACCTCTCCATGTTTCTAACGCTGCAATTGTTTTCCATATTGTGTTAATTGACAAACTTACATAAATACGTTTTGGTAGGAATTTTTACTTTTTACGTACTGGAGTAAAAGCTTAAAGTATCATAAGCTCCAAGTACCTTACATGTTTACTTACAGTACTTGAGTAAATGTACTTAGTTACATGCACTCCTCACACACAACTTTCGTTTGTGTTTCAATACTAGAAGGTTGATTCTTTTTTAGCACACACAAATATGTTAACCAAATATGCCTCAATTTAATGATTTGGTCCCAGACAGTTTGAAAGGCAACAACTATTTTATAATTTGTCCAAATGGACACATACATGCACTTATGCTGCCCTCTGCTGGATGGTTTGTGAAGTACGTTGTACGTGTATTTCCTTCATTTAGCACTTTAAAAGCACAAAGGTTGTGCATGTGGAAATAAAAAATAAGCTAAAGTAATACAAATCATTACTTTGGTTTTACCTTTCTGATTTATATTGCATACAGACACGTATAGACACACATATTCTAAGCTTAATTAGCTTAACCCTTTGTGCAGCATACATTTTATTAAAATCCTTTATTCATTGTATTTTATATACAAGGTTGTTGTTGTTCTCACTAAACCATGGCCATTTGTACAAATATTTACAGAACCTTAAAACCGGTCACATATAAGTTTTATATTTCAATTTTATATGAACTTGTATTTGTTTTTATTGTTTAGTAACTATTATATTTCCTTTCATTGCAGTGTAGCGTCTCTCTAATGCAAAACCATTAAACGCTTGTGATCGTCTTTGATCTACAAAGAGAAAATCTTATATATTATTATTTGTGCTTTTAGGATTGAACGATCAGGGATTGATTGATTGAGGTCTTGTAGTCGGTTCTTGACGGATGAATGCTTTTATCTATGAACAATTGGCTAACACCATGGGTATGTGTGGATGTTCACAAAAGATTGCATGTCTGTACACAACTTAAAATGTAACCCGTTGAGGTTTGTTGTTCTAAAGTAAGTGACTTAATAAATACATTTCGAGTTAGATGTTAAGAATGCAATTAAATCTCTTGTTATTCCTGTAATCAGCAGTTAAAATGTTAATCTTTATGTAATGAGTCCGTTACATCTACCCATTTTTGCTTTTTTGGAAATAATGCACTCACAGAAAGTTCTTAAACAGTAAAAGGTAAAATATACAATTTTTATTATTTATATATGGAAATACAAAATTAAGATACATGCATTTGTAATGGCATAAATACAGAAGGGTCAACATACAAAATAATTTCCAAAAAGAAAAACAAGAACATTTAAGCTCATAGAAACGTCCACTGTAACAGCTCCTTTAGTGGTTGAACAAACAAATACCATTTTGTTCTTATTGTACTTAAAGATTTAAAGCAAAGAAACATATACAATACACCACATAAACATGTACTTTGGTCAATATGTAAAAAGCAATAGCAAGAGGCAGGCACTGATCAGTATGGAGTATGATAAGACATATAAAAGCAGCTTTAGTGATCAATGTTAAAAAAAAACTTGAATCAGTGGTAATAAAAGCAATTCATGAAAGCTAGTGGACCAAAGCAGCACAACATTTTATATCAGTCAGTTTTCTTTGAGTTCCTGTACCATATTCTTTCTGTCTGACATCTTAAAAGACACTCGTGTGTTCTCACCTTTAACAGTTTTGCATATAGATACATTAAGCTCTTAAAAGTAAAGATAATATGCATGTCAATCACACAAAAGGAGTTTAATATGGATCATAACCGTCCTCACTAATCTTAACTACAACTTAGAAACAAAATGTACAAATATCTCTATTTCGTGCCTTAACAAAAGTCATTATTCCTCAGGCCTATTCAAATAAATCTTCGTGTTGGAAAATAACAAGCATGACTCAAATGGTGTTTGAATAGAGCTTCATAACTGAGCCTGTGGTGACACTATTGTAAACCCAGAACAGTAATCCATACATTGCTGAATTACTAGAGCTAAATCAACTGAACATCTCTGGGATGGTTGTACTTGGATAACTAGTCATTCAACCATGTGAGAATAGCACCATGGAGCTACAATAGGAGCTCTCAGTAAATAGGAGTTTACATTGAAGAGGCACTTTGTAACACGTGTATTTCACACATGATCATTTGATGCATGCATGCACACCGTTAAGACCTGAGAATGCCACAGAAAATAGAAATCAAGGCAATAAAAGTTAAAATGATAATATATTTGCTCAACTGCTTTTACTTACTGAATATGAATTCTTTATTTTGTACATAATATGATTAAAATACACTTGAAACAGTCAAAAATATTTGATACAACTGTGAAATTGACCACCTGTTCTACTGTGAAGTTGAAAAGGTTAAGGCTTTGTATGGCACATAGCATTTGGTATTTTTAGTTGATCATAAAGGACAATCATGATGTTGATAATGATATATTACAGATAAAGCTTCTCCACATTAAACAACCTTTGTAAAAAGTTTCTTATGACCCAAATGGAGTCAATCTGCTCGTCTCTGAAGAACATAGGTTGTAATAAGCTCATGTAAAATATATGTTATTAACATTTATGTCTTTAAACAACACGTTGAGGGCACAACGGCACATTCAGATCTACTTTACTACATGAAGTCTCTGGATTGAACCCATGGCCGTAAAATATCCAAATAATGATCTGCTTACCATTTCACATGAATTCTCCGCATATGATAGAAAACCGTGCTCATCTTGTGAACGAGGTGGACAAAACGCAACATTCTCCAGCACAGATGATACAACCATCCATCCGGAGGCTAAATGAATTGTAGTCTTTAAAGCCACAAAGAGGCGTAGAACGCTGCGTATCCTTCACTACACCATGAACTGTGTGTATCCCTCAGCGCCTGTGACGATCACATCCATCCAGATCCTCATGGCCTCAGGAGAGGGAGCTACCATGTAGTAAACTCTGTCGTGAGTCTTTACACTGAAGGTCAGGGAGGGGTTCGGGCTCTGATCCAGGAAAAAGGATAGGAAAACGAGGAAGGAAGGGAGGGAGGGAGACGGGTGATGATGAATGGTAAGTAGGAGACAGAAGGAGAAAGGTTGAGAAATCATTTAAAAATGTAATTAGAAGATGATAGATCACCATTTTCACCACAGGAGTTATTTCCATGCATTACCTTGTGAGCATTCTTCAAGTGATCATAATACACTTCTTCAATTGCTTGGAAGTAGATGACTCCTTTCAGCTTGGCTTCATGCTTGTCTGCAGAAGAAATAGCCATGACGCATAAATCATATTTATTCAAATGCTTTTGTGTCTGTGTGTGCTTCTTGCCGCCCCTACCTGAATAATAGGAGAGTGTGCGTCGGTTGCGGTCGAACACGAACCAGCGTTTCTTCCAGGTTTTGATTTTGCCTCCCATTTTGATCAGGTAGCCCCTGCAGGTCTTCTCAGAGATGGATAAGTGGAAGCATGTGTCTGGGCTGTGACCCGCCGACTCAATGTGAGCACGCAGGTCAAAATCATCTTTACGCACCGGCAGGTAGCGTGTTAGCGGCCGGGCCTGCAGAGAGAGGAGAGAGAGGGTTCATTGAAAAGAGGGCATTGCTTCAAGTAATGACAAAGATGTATTTATATAATTCAGGGGTGGCCAACCCGCGGCTCTTTGCCTAGTTTCATGCGGCTCTTCAGTTCATATCGAGTTGTATATATGTGAGTTTGGGGGAGAGACACTGACTCCTGTTGCATGGTGTACCGATACTTGAAAGGTATACCGCGATACCCTGTCGTTAAAAACGTTACGATTCCTCCGTTTCATTAGTATCGGTACTTTAAGAATGACGGGGGAAAGTACTCCGGTGAGGATGCGCCGTTTTAATAAGAGCCGTGTGTGTTCAGCGCTCTGCTTCCACTCCCTGCACTGCAGCCGTGCCTACAGTCCCTCCCCTCTCAAGCACGCTCAAGTGCCTGCCCTCTCACCTGCACGCGCTAGCTGCCAGAGCATGTGAGAAAACGAGAAGCATGGCTGCAAGTGGGAGTGCAACTGCCGCTGCGCCTCGGCTTGTTGACAAAAAAGACGCCAGAAGCGAAATTTTGATGTATTTTAGCTATATCTCTGACAGTGAGGGCAAGCCTACGGACACCACGAGGCCTGTCTGTAAGAAATGTATTCATTTGATTTAATACGAATTCTTGTCATTTATTTTATTTATTGTTCTCATTGTTTAAAAGTTTGTGTTATGGTTATGGTTCTGGTGTGAAATAAAGCACAATAATTACATTTTAGACTGTTTCCCTTTTTTTAAGAAAAGTATCGAAAAAGAATCGGAATCGTAATTCTTGACTTGGTATCGAAACCAAAATGTTGGTATCGTGAAAACACTACTCCTGACAGTTAAACCTGATATTTAGTAGGTCTGTTAAGTATTGAATGCTGACCATTCTGACGTAATTTGGCCGGTCAAAGTTGTTTGGGCTCGGATAAAATCGCTCCGTTACTTTCGTCCCGGCTCTCCCTATGTGTGTATGTGTGGTGTCAGGTGTCAGTATGAGAGGATGACAGCGGGTCTAATTTTGATGTGGCCCAAGAGCCAATCACAATAATACCTGGATGCAGAGAACCAATCACCTTTGAGGGGGGGAAAACGTATCGTTGTTTCCCCTACCATTGTCTTGGAGGGGCGCCAACAGAGAACCCAACCTAACCCCTGAAATTCAAGGTGTTTAAAAAATATATAATTTTTTTTTTAAATATAGCCTCCAGTATATATACTGTATATATATATAATATATACTATATACGTATACCTTAATAGCCTATAGTCTATATATATATAAAAAAAAAAAATTATATATATCACCACATTGCAAATAATCTATAACTACTGTCACTTTTCACATTGAACATGTGCTCTTTTATTAAATAAACTAAACACTTTCATTTTAAGTTGTGAGTTTAGTGTTTTTGACCCTAAGAAACACTGATGCATTAATCAATAACAATAACCCACAGCTCCTCTCTCTGCTCCAGAGGATTTAAAAAATATATATCCCAATGCCACAAAAATGCATCAGTGAAGTGGTTGAAATCTTGTCTCCAGAAAACAAAAAACTGAAACAAGCGGTATCAGTGACTGTGTGTTTGATGTGGCTCTTTGCAGTAGCATAGAAAAAATGTGGCTCTGAACCTCTGACTGGTTGGCCACCCCTGATATAATTCATACAAATCATGCAGATGTCTATCATATGTTAAGTAGATTCTTTCTTCTTCTGCCAACAGTTGGTGGTCCAAACAAAGGAACAAAAGATGATGGATGAAGCTTATACTGAGAATTGTAAGCAGGCGTGATTAAAAACATATGGAGAGGGAATTATATATGAAACACAGAAACAAGATGGAATGTGTTGTTAAAAAGTTAAAACAATCCCTAAAAAGGTTACAGGAACTTAGAGTAAAATGAACAAATAAAGAATAATCACACATTTCAAACCACACTTTTCTTATCATAATAAACCTTTATCTAGTGGATAAAGGATATCCCATCTCTTCATTGTCTTTCTTACCTGTGCCCTCTGCTTTTCTCTCAGTTTCACCTCACGATCTATGAGTTTCTGCCGTCTGCTCGTCTCCTCCTGCAGCCTCTTCTCCAGGTCCTCCCTTCTTTTCCTCTCCTCGTCCAGCGCCTGCATTCGCACTTCCATTTCTTGCTCCTGAGAAAACATTGAAATAGCCATTTTACTAAATGCTTTATCCATGTGTCTTTAAGTTTGTGGATTTGTCCCAAATGCACAAAGATATTTATCCCTACCATTTCCAGACGGCAAAGCTGTGAAAACAAACTGATATAATAATTGTGATTTGATCTGGTAGTGACCTTGTTTTCGATGAGGCGGTGCTTCTCTGCCTGGGCTTCTCTCAGCAGTCGCTCCATCTCCTCTAGCTTGGCCATATTTGACGTACTGGCACTGCAGCACCCAAACACACGTTACACACATTAGAGCAACAAAGTAGAGGAAAACGTTGGTTCTGCACAATTAACCACTTGGCATACAGTCATGTGAAAACAAACTCTAAATCATCTGTCATCTGGCTGAACCTAAATTACAATTAAAGTGTCATGAAGTTAATCAATTAAACCTTCTGCACAAGCAGCAAGCGTGACAAACCGCCGCCATTCTGTCTTCGCCATGTTTTTTCAGGTGTTACATTTTCGGAGAATCTCAGTTCAGTAGTGGATGTACAGATGACTGTGATGAAGTATAAGCATAATCCAAGTTTAAGAAAAAAAATATTAATTTCCGTTAAACATCTGTGCAATTATCCAAGTATACATAAAGAACCCTTCCAAAAAAGGCTGTGTTTATGCATACAGTAAGTGTGTGTGTGTGTGTGTGTGTGTGTGTGTGTGTGTGTGTGTGTGTGTGTGTGTGTTTGTATATATGTGTGTGTGTGTGTGTGTGTGTGTGTGTGTGTGTGTGTGTGTGTGTGTGTGTGTGTGTGTGTGTGTGTGTGTAAAGTTTTCTGACTCTCTGTTTTGTCCCTGTCCTCGGTTTAGGACAGCTTCACCCAGCTCCAGGTCTCTCACACTGCAGATGGTCTACACATGACATGCATTCCTGCCTGACATCACAGGCTAAAGATGTGTGTATATGGTACTCATGTGAAATAGTATTTTGTTCTCAAAAGTTCCTCTCCGCCTCCCTCTGACCAGCAAACACACATTCTCTCTCATCCTGAGCCAGAAAGGAAATGGATACCCAGTGTTGATTTGTGATGATGTAACAACATTGTTAAGATGAATGGTCCACATTAGACTCAGTCTAAACAAATCAGGAAGGGAGGGAGGGAGTGCGAGGGGGAAAGAAGTAGGGTACCCCAAATAATTGAAAAGAGTGAAAAAAAGAAAAAGTATAAAACAAATGAACACTTTCCCGCTCCCTCCTACTATTTTTTGCAAATCTATTTTCACTTTCATAAGAAATCCACATACCTTGCACTCTTTACTCTGTCCTACACATTAGGGACTTTTCACTTTTGAATGAATGCATTTTTAAATGTGAATATTTCTTAAACATGTTTGCTGTTAGTAAGCGTGTTCATTATTATTCACTTTCAGTATAAACAACGTAGGCATAGACACAAATAGACATGCATTCCTACTTAAATAACAGTGATGGGTAGAATTAATTCATTTGCCATTATTTATTTAGTCTAGTACTTGCAATTAGGCTCGTACTTGCATAAGAATGCATCCATCCAAGCCTAACGTCCATCCTTTCCTCTCTTCCTCCCCTCCCCAAGCCATTCTCTTACCTCCGTCGATGAGAATGAATCACCCTCATAGTCATTGTAGACCAACTCTGATTATTCAAGTAATTAGATCACTTGAGAAGATGTGTATTTCTCTTGATGCAACACTTCATGTATCTCCAGAAATCAGGACACATCACTGACAAGATAACAACAATTCCAGTTCTATCCTTTTTTCCAGCACAGATTCAGGTCCAACACACACGTCTTCAAGTCTGATCTAAGCCGGTACAACACAATCCAACTTGGAAGCATTTTAGGAGGCAGCCTGTTCCAGGGAAGCTTTCAGAGAGGTCAGTCTGCAAATGGTTTGGCACTGTTCAAAATCCAACTACAGAAACAAGACCGTACCATTCAGAGAAACAAGAGGAGGGGAAACAAAAGACAGATGCAACCACTGGAAGAAGGAGAGAAGGAAAGCAAGAACACATGGTTTCAGTCCAGATGGGGGGGTGAACCCCAAAGTGTACCTCCACACTCATCTGAACCTGAGGGGTTTGAATGTGAACGCACACACACACACACATTCACGTTTTCCTTCTTCTGTAACCTGACCCATAGAACACTAATCAAGAGTCCCCCTTAACTCGAGACACACACACACACACACACACACACACACACACACACACACACACACACACACACACACACACACACATCTTAGTCTCTGAGGAGGGAGCGTGAAAGGCGGGAGACTTCTGCCTTGCAGCTCCACACACTTTTTGCATTAACCCACTTTCTACTCACTTTGAAGCCCCCAACCCCAACCCCCTTCCTACAGTCAATGTTTCATATTACAAACACAAAGAGATATTTTTGCATTTTCAACTGTTTGTTCTATTTCAACTATACAACCTTTCCGTCATCCACTTATTTTTCTTTACACTTTGCTTCTCTTCCTTTTGTACCTACACAAACAACACATTCCTGCAACACCTACCTGGAGACATTATCAGGAGAGCATGCAGAGATGCTGGTTTCAATGGAGTCAGAACTATCCACACTCATCGTGTCGAAGGCCTGGTTGTCGCTGTACCCGAAGGCATCGAGGTAGACGTTGGTCTGGGAAGCTACTCGGGACCCGGACTGAGCTGGAGACACACACAGAAAGAGAACATTAACAACAGCTTCAGGAGGGACGAACTATGCCATCTTCTTCTTCATGTTGTACCTGTCTCTGTCTTCTCATCTAGGACAGAAGTCTGCCCAGATGGGGTCAATTTTGGATCACAATGCCCCGCCACTGTGAAACGCTCTTAAACGCTTAGTCAAAATATAAATCCAAACCTCATAGATGTAACTACTCTTGTTTAAATATAAGGGCTCGCAAATTAACCAACAGGCTTCAAAATGAAGAAGAGTAAGTCCTATAAAGCCAACCAAAGATGTCTGGAAAGAAAATGAGATGTCCTCAGAAGTAGAAGGAGAAATAATGACACAATTACTGTGCAGACACTTAACACGGCCTCTGACTACAGGAATAAACACACAGAAACCCCGATAGCATCTGCTCCATGCAGCAGACCCACCCATCTGATGAGCCTGATCAAGGGACCAGAGGGACTCAGGGGGCAGACACATGCACAGTGTCTGGGACACACAGCAGCACTATAACAACACAGAGCAAATAATACTCTTTTGGATATATGTCTTGTAAAAAGTGCAGCAATGGAAGAGTTATCTTATTCATTATCTGTGTAATTGGGTGGTTTGCACTTAAGTTATTACACTTTCATTCACAACAGTAATATACACATCATCAACTTGACCTCAATTGTATCTTGTCGTGAATGAACCAGTTATCGTAATGATTGGAAATAGCTGGGTGATGTTTGTGGCAGAAAGCTGACATGACGAAATCTACTTTTTAAGTCGTTTTTTTGTCTAATGGTTAAAACAATGAATATATAATTTATACTCAAACAAGCACCTCTTGTTAACTCACTCACACACATAAAGAAACGCATAGACAATATGACTTAATGGATCTGTCCTCCTCCACTCACATTCCTTCACTATCTCCACCGACAGATAAACAAATGACAAATCTACACACACACACACACACACACACACACACACACACACACACACACACACACACACACACACACACACACACACACACACACACACACACACACACACACACACACACACACACACACACGTTGGTGCTACCATATTAGGGGCCTTTTCATGTGACAGCCAAGGGAAGTGTGAGTGTGGACAGAGCAGAATAAAAAGAGAGATTTGTCAATGTACTTTCTTCATCAGTATATGGTGTGTGTGTGTGTGTGTGTGTGTGTGTGTGTGTGTGTGTGTGTGTGTGTGTGTACCTTTATGCAGATGTCGAGATTCAGCTTCCTTGTTGGATAAGGAGAGAAATCTTGGGAGAATGCTGCCACAACTTGTGCTCTGTACCAGGGGATGATGGGACTGTAAATAACACACAAGAAAAACTGTTTCCTTTCCATGTTTTGTAAATTAAATAAACATTATTGCATCTTCAGAATTCTGCCATATTTACAAAACACAATACAATTAAATGTCAAATTTAAGCATATAAGCTAAAAGTATTTTGAGAAAAACTTTGGTATTGATGAATTTGTAATCATTGGTGTTAGTGATGCATATGTCAACATCACTGTGTATGTGTACCTTGGTAGGGTAGCTGCGTCCCAGTGTGGCACAGGTGAACTGGGGGGTCATCATAGGTGTGGTTTTCTTCCTGGGTAATGTGTCACTTAGATGGGACCCCCCTCCTCTCTCAGACCTTTTCCTCTCTTCCAGCAAACGGAAATGCTGACCAAACGAGATGTATATTAATCAATCAAAGCAATAGTGTGAAATGTGGCTTCTACACATTGTGTTGCTGATTTTGAAGAGGGACGAAACGTCATCTAGATAAAAGAAGAAATGCATATGGAGCAGGAGTTTGCCTCCATTTGTTCCTTCTTTTATGTCACACTAAAAACAGACAAACACAAAGTTGCGGACACACACAGACAGACACACACGCATTACCTGCCTGTGTCGCTGGCGGTGATTTTTGACAGGAAGGGGAGGTGGGGGGGAGTCAGGGAGGGGAGAGGGGTCTCGATAGGACACCATGTTCTCCGGCCAATGCACAGAGGGTGTTTTGGGGAGGGGGCGGGGGTAAAAATGAAAGGAGGAAGAAGAGGAGAGACAGTCGGCAGGAGAAGAAGAATGACAGAGCTTTGGAGAGAAGAAAGGCACATTGTCAGAAAACTGGAAGAGTTCAAAAGAAGGTGGAAAATGAGGGAAACACACTCATTCACACACACACACACTTTGCACCATCTAGCCCCTAACACCACTACACACACCTCGTCCTCCGGTGGTTTAGGGGTGTCTTCGTCAGAGGAGGGCTTCCCCCCGGACTCAGTAGAGGCATTGGTCAGAGCGGGGGCAGGGGCGGGTTTAGGGTCCCCCCCAAGCTGTGAGTAAAGCTCATTGATTTCACTGACTGTGACATAGCCCTGGAAAAGTGTCATGTAGAGAAGAAGGGAGAGAGAAGGGGTGAGGCATAGCATGGAGTGAGTCAGCCGTTTAATTACAAACTTGAGAATTAGTTGTTAGAACGATGCGGACACATTCAGTGGTGATTTTAGCCGTTTCAGAGCAACAATTAGAACGAAAAGTATCACTTACACTGTCTTAGAACATGAATTGAGTTGGTTACATGAGACAATAGACATTGTTACAAGGTTACCTCAGTATTAATACACATGAGTATAATTTGTGCTCAGAATTAATGAAATGAGTCTCTGTCCTGGTAGTTACAACAAGAAATCGAAAAAGCAGAAAGAAGTAACCAGGAGGGAGGAACGAAGGACAGGAAGTTAGGATCAGATGGATTCAAACAAAGAGGAACAGAACAAGGACATATTAGTGAAACCATCAAAAATACCTCTGCTTTCTTGCGAGAAATAGAGGAAAGGAGGGATGAGAAGGCGCAAGGGTTGACTGGAGGAAGAGAAAGTTTGGAGTAGGTGGTGTCATGGCAACCATCGCTAAAGGACTGACACACATCAGCCAGAGAGGCTGTCTCCTAGCAGAGAGGGAAACCCCAACGATAAAGAATGATGAGAGTCCAGCCCACTTTATTTTTCTTAATTCTAAGAGTCAGACAGAGTTGATTTCCTTGATGACAGCTGTCAATCAAACCTACCTCTCTAAGAGTGAAACCTCGGCCACCAGTGAGCTCAGCATATTTCCTTTCCAGCATGGAGAGGTTTTCTTTCTCCTAATAGACAAAAAAACAATGTTAAAAACTAAAGGAACCTTTATTTGATGGTTTTTCTTTTCGCTTATACACAGAAGGAAGGATGACCACATGCATGAATTGTAAACATGGAGGTCTTCGTACTCTTTGCAGCATTGCTTCGAGGGTGCTTCTCTCCTTCAAGAAGCTCTCTTTCTCTCGCTGAGCCTGCTGGGTAATCTGCACTGCCTGCTTCTTAAGAGTTAACAGTCGCTCCTGAAGGAAAAGCAAAACAAGCTTGTTACACATTTATAGCTCACTCATAAAGCATGACTCAGGCCTGACTCATTCACAAACAGACCGCTGTTACCTTGCGAGACACACTGCTCCGCTGGAAGTCTGCGATCTCCCGGAGAAGATGTTGTGTGTGCGTCTCCTTCTCCTCGTCCTGCCTGCTCTCTTTCTCCAGCTGCTGGAACTCCAGGTCCTCGAAGCGTTTTGACTCTGCATCCAAAACCTCACAGTCCTAGACATACACAATGAACCACTCACAGGGTAAATAGGCAAGACAAATTCATCTCAACTAGACATACTGTTATGCACATACACTTTATATACATTTAAGATGCAGGTAAACAAAAAAGACTTGTATTGACACACACAGGGAACTTGCCATGCTGCATTTTGCCAATTAGACCCAATGCCGGAATATCAGCAACATTTCTCTAATAGCCAAACTCTTGAATCCAAACTCTTGAGTTACTTTATACAGGCTCAAACCCTGGTGAAATAAAGATGTGTAGACATTGAAACCTAAAAGTTAGATATTGCAAAGAGAACAGGATCCAAGATTAGATCAGAGGTAGCCTTGGGGTGGAGAGCAAGTTAGCTCAGGAGAAAAGATGTGTGTAAGTTCAAGTATGCCAGCATTACGTATCTCTACATCGGCCTTTGTTCTGGTCTATACATGTACGCATGCAGAGCCCTTTCCCATTTAATTTGAGTTTTTTGCTTTTCTATGTGTTGTACATTCTGTGTGTGTGTGTGTGTGTGTGTGTGTGTGTGTGTGTGTGTGTGTGTGTGTGTGTGTGTGTGTGTGTGTGTGTGTGCACATGCGTGTGTGTGTGTACTGACCCGGGCCAGCTGCTCCTGCAGGGGCTCCTTGGTGGCCTCAGGGCAGCTGTCCAGCTGGGAGCGCTGCTCACACACAATCTGAGCCAACCTCTCTACTCTGCCCCTTTCTGCCTGTAGCACCTCGCACGCCTGGCATACACACATGTTCACGACACATAGACGCGCAGACGTACATGTGCACATTTGATGATGTGTACAGACGAACAAGGAAACACACACACACACACACACAAACACACACACACACACACACAGGACAGAGAGAGGATGGCAGCGTTAGTGGGATATGGGGAGCCACAGTTAGTTACTACGGCGATCAGGTCAGCGAGGTTAGCCAGGAGGGAGGAGGGGAGGTAAAGCTGCAGGAATGAACTAAAGGGATTGAGATCTGGGGAGTAGTAATGAAGGTAGTATGAAAGTTTCATGAGTTCTGTCACCTGATGATTTTTCTGTTTGTTTAAATGGAAATGATTGGATGAGAAGCAATGGCTCAGTGGATTAATGCTCCTCTCTACGAATAACACACGTCCAAAATCTGTACAAGCACTCAACTTCACCTGGCTATTCAACCATCAGGGCAACACTAACGAACATCTTTCCCTACGTCTAACTCTGCATCATTAACAGTATTTAAGGGCCGTGGGGTCCAGGACGATTTCACGATTAAGCTAGGAATCCCAGAGTGTAAAATATCCAGATACCAAGGCAGCATGTGCACACAAACACACACACAACAAATTCAATCCGTTTAGCCACTTATTCCCCACCCTGTCAATGACACCATATGTTGGTATAAATGGCGACCGACTATCACACACACTCAACCACACCCAGAGTGTGTGTGAGATAGGATCAAATGGTGCCCGCTATACCCTGGGCAGTATTAACAGATATATATTTGGACCAGAGACAGCATGGGAAGGATTAACACCTACCAGTTGGTCACATGACCCCGAAATGTGTCAGAGAGAGTCTCAGAGTAGTGTATGTATGTTCAATATGAAATGTAGTATATTTCTCCCTTCTCCGCCATTATCGATCACGGAAGGTATCAATTTCACTCTCTGCTTTACAATGAACCGAGCCTGTTATGTACCTTTTCTTTTTCCTGCTGGGACTTGGATTCCAGGTCAGTCATCTTGTTGTGAAGCGCTTCCAGAGCATCTCTTTCCTGCTGGAGAGCGGCTACCTCCGACTCCTGCTCAGCCTCGACCAGAGCTCGCTCCAGCTCCACCTTTCATAAATACACAGCTGTACGTGAGTCATTTGTAGCGATCCTGGGTTACTTACAATAAATGATGTGTGAAAGAAATGCTTTTTTGCGCCGTCCTTCCTCGCTCTTTACCTCTTGGGCAGATTCTTCTATTTGGTTGTCCAGCTCCTTGATCTTTTGCTCCAGCTCCTCCATGTTGTTGAGTACTTGGATCCTCTCTTCTTCTACACGCCTCACTTCCTCCTCTGAAGCCCTTATTGCCTGTCCGCGGCGACGAGCTGCATCATCAAAAGCCTGGGAACAAACATTAAAACATTAAAACATAATCAATATATGGGTTGCATGGTAGTTAGTTGTCACCATAAACATGACCATTTCTATCTGTGGTGAAATTGGTTGAACTTCTGTAGTTCTGGTCTTGTGCAGCCACAAAACCTCAAGTCACACACACCAACACACAAACCACAGCTGTCCATTCTAATGTCTAACACTTGGCCTGCTCTAATCTAATAAATGAGCTGTAAATATATCCCATCTGTGTGCTTTAAGAATGTGTATGTTGATACTTTCCAAGTATTAAGGAGTGATCCTTGTCTCCTGAGAAAGAACAGGGAGCAAAAACACCTCACACATCAATCCTGATGAATCTTTGAAGAAGCTGACCAAAGTCAAAAGGTGCTCCTTTAGCGGTTTCATTTAATGGATGTGTTTGAAACTGAATTTACATTTCACATGTATTCGACCCATTAAAAGAGACAGGATAATATATTTTCGTCAGAGTAGAACATTCATTCATTTATTCTAATTAAATTACATTTTTAACCTTAAAAGATGACTTTGATAAGAATATGTGATACAAGTGGGAGCCAATTTGAATCTCTTGTACCTCATTGTTCCTCTGTGCACGTGGAGAAGGTGAGGCGGCGAAGCTCCGCAGGCTGACAGCAGGTGATTCGGCCCTGGCGTCTCGCTGACCACTGCTGCGCCTCCGTCGTACCGGCAGATCATCGTCATAGAAGCCATTCTCTGATCCATGGGACGCCATGTGTCCGTTCCCCGTTCCGTTAACAGCTGAAGAATCAGAAAAGACCGATGGTGTGTCGTCATCGTCCTCGTCGTTCAGTTGAAGCTTCTCGAGCTCCTGGTTGATCTTCTGGAGATCTGTCACGGCTGAAGTGGGAGCGGGTCCGCCTTCGTCTCTCTCAGACCGGCCCAGCTCCGAGCACAGAGACAGGATGGTCTCCAGACGCTGTCGCTCCTGAGATGTCAGAGAACGCATGTGCGTGAGTTATCAGGATCAGCTTTAATGCCAGAGTAAGAGGATAAACAAACAAGGAATTTCACTCTCTGTAGCAGTTACAAATAGTTACAATACATTTCAAAATAAATAATCTAGTTTTGAAGTTAGAATGATGTGATAATGTTAATTCAAGAAAGTCCCAACCAAACAAGTCATAACAATTTGTTATTAAAAAAAAAAATGTTTAAACTCTAATGCTGTTTTGGATGTGTAGCCGATGTGTATTCTATAAATGTATCATAATTATGCCCTACTTCACACACACACACACACACACACACACTATATTAAACGCTATTAAAAAGAGACAACAAGCAATTTAAGATTATACGTAAATGCAAACTTACATTTGTCATATTTTAAATATTCAAAACCAGTAGAAATAAACATTGCATTTTTTATATTTCTTCATATACATGCATATTTTTTTTCAATTTGGTTAAAAAAAAAAATGCACAGATTGAATGTTCTGTTTTGTTCCATACTATATAGAAGTGCCAACAGCTCTGCGGGTATGATTTCTTTCCATCATAAAATAAAGTTTCCAATGATCAGGTTACCTGGGGGAGCATCGCAGAAGTCACTCCCTCTAGTTTAAATGTCCTTGTTTAGTCCCGGATACATTCAGTACAATCCTTTTTTGTTTGTGATTTACATAATTTAGTTAAGTTCATCATTTGTAGAGGCTAGAAAGAATATTATCCTTTAACTGGGAATCAAGAGCTTCCCTTTCTACGGTTCTGCCTGCCTTAACTATAGCTATATGAGGAGTTACGGAGGCTGCAGAGGGTCAAAATACCCCTGGTAGGTTCAGCAGTAGCTTCTCTGGAGGAGGGAAGTATGTAAGCCACACAGCTAGCCTGTGTATGTAATATTAGAAATGGAGGTTAGGAAAAAGAATGTGGGACAGAGGTGTGTGAATGTGTTTGAGTGTGAGTGAGAGAGAGAGAAAGAGTGAGCTAATGAGAAGGTAGACAGCTGTCAACTATGATAGGAAGTGTGCACGAGAACAGGCCATGACTTCAAACACAGGAATGTGTCTGTGTGTACTGGAAACAGGACACTTTGTGCTGCAGGAAGGAATCTGAACCAGGTGAAGTGATGATAATGAAAGATGAGAGATTCAAGAGATAAGCAGTTCTGAAGAGAGACATCCTAGATCAGGGGTCGGCAACCTGCGGCCCTTTGAGCCCTCTGCTCTGGCTCCCTTGAGCTTAGACAAAAATAAGAAGGAAATAAAATAAAAGTATTTGTAGGACTATTAAAATGTTCTTGCACGGTTGAAAATGTTTCGTATCTTGTATTTTGAGGTGATACTGTGACACATAAATAAAAAACAAACCGGTTTTAATTAGGTCAACTAAAATATGCGTCACATCCTGCTACGGTCCCGCGCGAGCGCCTTTTTCCTGCAGGCGAATAACCTGACCCCCGGCTCGATGAGCGAACTATGGATAAATCAAAGAAAAGAAAAGTATCGGAGGAACACAGGATTTAATTCTGCGTGGACAGAGTTATATGTTTCACAGCAAGCGATGCTGGTTCACCGGTATGTTTGATATGTAGAGAGAAGTTGTCAAAGCTGCAGCCTTTACGTATCGAGGAACAACACGGGAGAGGAAGACAGCTGAGGACCTTCAGTCATAATTCAATGGGGTATGTCATTTATTTCAGAAAACACTTTTTGTTATATTCCATGGAATGCTCTTAACATCCCGATAGCAATGAATATATTAAATGCTTTGACAATAAATACACAAACAAATTAATCTCTGGAAGCCGTAGCGCTGTAAAAAGCACGACCAATCATCTGAGCCGGCTAAAGTA